TGCGGTCCGAACCATCGGGTCCACAGCAGAAAGACAAATGATTCGATTATGGTGTGCTCCGAAGGCCGCTTTCGCATTAGGAAATCAACAAATTCAAATGTGGTGAAAGGGTCTGCCAGAATGCAACATTTTTTTTGTTTTTTCACCCACGTTTTCCCAAAAGTGTCTCACGCACGTCTCTGAAAGCCCTGCAATGAACCCTTGGAAATGCTGATGTCTTGCAAGCTCCTTGGGAGATTTGGAAGCAGGAGTTGGTGAATATTTTGGGCGAGTCATCAAAGCTGGAGGACAGATCGGATATTCTGCAGCGGGCAACACAACAACCTCCACAGTTGCTGTAAAGTTGAATCATAAATCCAAAAGTGAACATTACAGCCATCATAAAAGCTGAATTTATTGCTAGCTTGTTGCAGCTCGTGGACCTGCTATGATGCTAATTAAATGTCTATAAATGGATATTTTTTATAACCAGAAGTAGCAACAACATTTATGAAGCGTTCAAACTGTTGTGATCCATTTTTCTTCTGTACGTTTTTCAGCATCGTTCTCGTTCCACAGTTTCCAAGCTATTTCAACAAATCATAAATCAAAACATTCGGCTTTCAGAAGAATCCTGCTAAGACTTTTGGTATTGGCGCAACTTTAGCGATTTGAAATTTTTAGCCTTTTCTGTCATTTTTTCCTCATAGAAAATGAATGGAGCTCATTTTACATCCTTCTGATTTTTAGATCTGTTTGACAACCTTTTACTGCTCCTTACACATTTCGTTCTGGTTCAACTTCCTTGTGTACGTTTAAACTTTTTCAGCTACTTTCAGCCTGTTTCAGCTGCTTTTTCAGATGGTTTGTACTCGTTTCAGATTTTTTTCTGCTAACTTCATTTTTGTGTTTCTTCCTGCTAATTTCAGCTTGTTGTGCTCCTTTCAGCTGATTTCTGCAAGCTTCAGATTTTTTCTGCTATTTCAGCTAATATATAGCTGTTTTGAGCCAAGTATAGCTTTTTCATCTAATGCCACATTTTTTGTACTCATTTCAACTATTTTCAGCCTAATTTAGCAAAAATGTGCTCTCTCCACTTCCTTGCTTCTGCTGTTTTAGCTACTTTTCAGCTGTTTATTTGCTAATTGCAACTTTTTTCAGATAATTTTTACTTTCTTGTGCTCATTTCTGCTTCTTTCAGCCTAATTGGACAACTGTTTTTTCATCTGTTAATTTAAACTTGTTCTACCTTTTCAGCTAGTTTTTAGCAGTTTTAGCTAATTTCAGATAAATTCAAGTTTTTCGTAGTAATTTCTGCTACTTTCAGCCTAATTAACTTCTTTCTGCTAATTTCAGCTTGTTATGCTCCTTTCAGCTTATTTCTGCTAGTTTCAGCTTTTTCTGCTATTTCAGCTACTATTTAGCTGTTTTTTTTTGTGCTAAATTTAGATTTTTCAGCTAATTCCATAGTTTTGGAGCTTATTTCAGCTCTTTCCGCTTCCTTCTGGTAATTTAAGCTTCTTTCTACCTTTTCAACTATTTTTCAGCTATTTTTTTTTAGCTAATTTCCTAATTTTTGTGCTCATTTCTGCTTATTTAAACAATTCAGCAAATATGTGTTATTTCTGCATTCTTCTTCTAACTTAGGCTTGTTCTTCCATTTCAACTAAATTTCAATATGTTTTTATCTAATTTCAGCTGGTTTTCAGTAAGTTCTTCTGCAACAAGCATTCACACTGAATGTTCACAGGAAATGCAATTTCTCTAGTTTCAGTTTGTTTTAATACTGATGCTCAAACAGCTAATTTAATTTGTAAAATAGAAAATGTATATTAGCGTAGTAACACAGATCTACCTCTTAATCAAAGCAGGTTTGAAAAAACAAACAATAAATCACATTCCACAATTTTTTTATGGAATTGTACATTTTTCTCTGCCGGCTGCTGCATCTATGGGAAATCCCTTCGTATATTCTTGGGCATCATTGTGAAGCTTGGGGAGTCTCTTTTTTAAAAAACATGATGTCACTCCAAAAATCAAGTTTTGAAACCAGCACTCTCTTGAACAAAACCAGCTTGTTGCCAGAGATAAATATCCAAAACTGAACAAACTGCGGATGATTATGAAAAATTTCAAATGGAGATTTTGAAAATGACACGTCAGTGTTGATAATTTCTCACTGTGACATTTCTCATTTTACGTTAACAACCTGGACAAGAGAACAGGGCTGTCCAGTCCTGGTCTCTGAGGACAATTGTCCCCAAGTTTTAGATGCTCTTCTGCTCCGACACACGATTCAAATCAGCAGATGATTAAAACACGTCGAGGCGATTCAACCACTGAATCAGGAATGTTGGTGCCGAGATGAACATGGAGGATATTGACCCCCCAAGGATCAGGACTGGACACCCCTGTTTGAAATATAAGTTTTGGTCATCATGCTAGGGCGAAGGTGGGCCTGTGATCAGAAGGTCGCAGGTTCGGTTCCCCAGATAGACAGCATCAAAACATGGGAAGAAATGGTGAAAGGTGGGCCCTTGAGCAAGACACTTAACCCCCACCATCTGCTCCCAAACAGGTCTCTCTTGAAGACGAGTCCTTGTGACTCACTGAGACTTCCTGTATAAATAAAGGTTGAATGAAATGCTGCGGGTGTGGCCCCAGAGCCACAAGTTGAAGACCCCTGGACAGACGTTACATGGATAATGGCCGCCCTCCATCCTCATTTACCCCACTCTGGACCCTTGAGCAAACCGCCCTTAACTCCCACCATCTGCTGCCCCAGGTGTCCTATGGCAGCTCTCTGCTCCACACAGAGGGCTGTGGTAGCTCGGTGGTCTGTGGTTGTGTCAGGAAGGACATCTGGCGTAAAAACAATTGGAAATTCTTTGTGCGAGTTAGTTCGCTAGAACAGTGGTTCTCAAACTGGGGTCGCTGGACCCCTGGGGTTCCACAAGCCGGTGCTTGGGGGTCCGCAAAAGATAAATAAATAAATAAAAATGTATATATATATATATATATATATATATATATATATATATATATATATTACAAGCACATATATGTTTAACAACCTATTAAAATACATACAAATGCAGGAATTCTACTTTATTAATTTTTTTCTGGGGGAGGACCCCCCCCCCCCCCCCGCCCACTTTTTCCATTCCGACATCTATCAGTTTACAGATGAATCCCTGTTACTTGGTATGACTACAGCTGATTCTGTTCAGTTTTATGTAACGAGTTTTCTGTAATAATTTGAAGAAGTGGCAACAGATTTATTATGTTCAATATGTGAATAAAGTTTTAAAGTGGTTTTTGATTCTATTAATTTTCTAAAAATTGGAATTTTTGAAAGCTGAAATTAAAATTTTTGTTAAGTGTCTTGAATGAAAAATACTCCATGTTTAAAAGTATAAAAATTGTATTAACACTATTAAAGAACAGGTCTTGAGTATTTATTTTACACAAATATTTCCACTGCATTAAAGAGACAAACTGATGAAAATTTTTTTATAAACATGAGGGTTATGATATGGAGGACGGAATGTGACAAAATGAAATAAATAATACAAACATAACAATTAAATGTATTATTTAATTATTAAATACAACAATAAATCATGCAGCACGGTGGCGCAACTGGTAGAGCTGCTGCCTCTCAGCGAGCAGGTCCCTGGTTCAAACCCCGGTCCAGGGGCCTTTCTGGGTGGAGTTTGCATGTTCTCTCCGTGCATGCGTCGGTTTTCTCCGGGTACTCCGGTTTCCTCCCACAGTCTAAAAACATGCATGTTAGGCTGATTGGTAACTCTAAATTGTCCCTAGGTGTGAGTGAGAGAGCGAATGGTTGTTTGTCTCGTTTGTCTCTATGTGTCCCTGTGATGGACTTGCGACCCATCCAGGGTGTACCCCGCCCCTCGCACAGTGATTGCTGGACATGGGCACCGGCGACCCCCGTGACCCAAAATGGAATAAACGGGTAAAGAAAATGGATGGATGGACAATAAATCATTAACTATACAATTAAATTATTAAATACACCATTAAATAAAGAGAAATGTACCTTTAAAATTATTTATGTCGTGATTTATTTATTTATTTAATTCTGCCACCTTCTACCCTCCAGTGGCATCATGAAATGATGTTAACTGTCAGTCTCACTCGTCAAACTCAGTGGGCGGGATTAGGGCGGTTGGTTCCTGAACAGACCTTGACGCCTGATTGGCTGCTCCTCAGCAAGCAAAGACAAATCGACTGCAGATAATGGATTGATCCACAGGCAAGAAAATATTTTTCGAAACATTAGGAAGCGGTAATTGTGTTTACGTGCATTTGGATGAAACCTTTTTTCATACCATGAATTTAAAGAAGATGCGCTTTTACGAGCTGTATGGAGGGAGAGTCCATGAACTGACTTCAGACCGAAGCAATGGATTTCACATGATCAGCGTTAGTCCCGCCCACTGAGTTTGACAAGCGAGACTGACAGTTAACATCATTTCATGGTGACAAACGAGGGTGGAATGTGACAAAACTAAATAAATAAATAAATCATGAAATAAATAATTTAATTGTGTATTTAATAATTTAATTGTGTATTTAATGATTCAATGATGTATTTAATATTTAAAATGATACATTTCATTATTATGTACTTATTTATTTCATTTTGTCACATTCCGCCCTCCATATCATGAGGGGGTCCCTGAAACGTCTTTTCCCCTGTAAGGGGTCCCTGAACCCAAAAAGTTGGAAAACCCCTGACATATTTTTTAGGGGTGCCCTTTATCGTGCCCTGGGCCCTGACTTCTTTAAGCTCGGCCCTGTTCCTGTGATTCTGGGCTTGGCTCATTAATAGATTCGTTTCATTTACCTCCCAGCTCCCACAAGAACAGAAACAATCATGTAAATAGTTTGAGCTTTTATTTGGAAATGACTCTACTGGAAACACTGGGCCGCAGTGGTTTTGTTGTCCGGAGGGTAGAACAGTAGTCGTGGATCTCAGGTTTCAGATTAGGGGCCTCCTCTCAGAGTTAGGTGGAGGAGGTGCAGCAGGAGGAGGAGGCGGCCACAGGACCCAACGATCTCCTTCTGGTTCGGGGACCCCGGACACGACGGGGTCAGGCGGGCTTGAATGGGTTCACAGACGCGGCGGCTCGCGCACGGACTGGGACGCCAATGAGAGCGCGCGCGCGCTAATTAGAAAAACCTGGTGGAGCAATTAAGCGCGAGGAGAGAAGAAGGAGGCAGGACGCGCGCACGCTGAGTGCCTGGGCTCCCAGAGAAGCTTGTTCCCGACCCGGTCCACCTTCTGGGCTTCGACTCCAGAGGAGAAAACAAGAAGTTGGAGGAGTTCAGGAGGAGGTTCGGAGCTGCGCGCGCCGGAGAGCGGTGGGTCCTCCGACTTCTTGGGTGTATTGTTGGGTTTCTTTGGAACTTCTATAGTAAAGTGCACATTTCCATTAGAGTGGGTTTAATCTGCTGCAGCCGCTCCGAGTGTTTCAGGGAAGTTTTTCCAAAACATTTCAGTCTGAGTCAGCAGCTCCTTGTTCCTCTGCACTTCCTTTCCAGAGGATCAAATGTGTGAAGGGACATGGTGGACTTCAGGTGTCCTCCTATGTTTCTGGTTTTGGTTAGACAGGAATGTTCACTCTGCTTTGTCCACATGCTTGTGCCCAAACTCCTCCACCCCCTTTCCTCCTCCTGGAGCCATTAAATCGAACTGAGAAGTGTTTGCACTCACCTGAGCCAGGACCCGTTTTATTCCAACCAAGCATTGTTGGGCGGTGAGCTGTCCTGGACCAGAGGACAACAGGCCAGGTCTGTGTGGTACTTTCCTTAAACACAACTTCTTCCTGTCTGGATCAGTTAGAGGAGACTGCGTGGGTAGAGACATGCTGAAAATATCTGTGTTTTGCTGAAAGTTCAGTCTTTAAGCTGAGCATCACCCAACAAGCAGAGCTGGAGCCGTCGCCTTGAGACCAGTTGTTGAACTTCATGTGTGGATCTGTGACAAATGTGACTTTCACAAAGTTCAGCCGTCGTCGTGCCGTTCAGTTCTAGACGTAAGGTTTCAATAAGTTGAGGCTCGTGAGATGTTTTCCTGACGGGACTGACGGGGACGTCCAACTCTTGGATTCTGACTTGGATCAGTCCCCAAATCTGAGGTCGGTGTCAGTAAATCTGAGGCTTTACGGCCTCAAATGTTTGTAATATGAATGCATTTTATTTTTATTTTTTGGGGGAAAGATTGCATTAGCTTATTGCTAAAACAAAAACTTTTCATGCTGTTGATGAACACTTGATTATTAATTTCATAAATGGAAATGGGAAGTGATTGGAAAAAGGAGCATGTGATGTGAACGGCGCTTCGCTCCAATGGTTAACAGACAGAACATCCTGATGCTGCTCAATAATCCAGGTAGAAAAATATAACAAAGTGAAGTCAGGTCCTCTGGATGGATTTAAAAAACAGAAATAAAATTAAAGAAACTTTTAAAACGTTTCATCTTTTATCCAAAGGACTTCTTCAGTCTGAAGATCTGCAACAAACTCAAGTCTTGTAAATAGCACCTTCTCATAGTGGATCAACCAGTTTGTTGTTGACATCCAGAACTAGCTGTTCACATGATAAAGGAGGAACATCAGACTAACAATGGATCGTTAGTGTGCTGATGACCACTTTCTATTCACAGGGAGCTGAGCGATACTAGCAACAATGGAGGAGGGTGACAGTTGAACACAGAGGCCTCCACCCCTGTTTAATGATGGATGGTTTCTCTTTACAAAGATGGTCTCCTTTTATTCCTCTCAAACCATCATGTGAACATCCCTGAAAGAGTGACCACTGGCCTGGAGAGGAGTGGTTGCAGTATAGAGAGGAACAATGGTTTTCGAGAGGAATGAAGGAGGCCATCTTTGTGAAGAGAACCTGTTCATCATTAAACAGGGGTGGAGGCCTCTGTGTTCAAATGTCCCCCTCCTGCTGTTATTGCAAGTATCACTCAGCCCCCTGTGAATAGCAAGCGGCCATTAGGGCACAAACGATGGGTCTAGGCTGATGCTGCTTTCTCATGTGAACAGCTAGTTAGTCAATAACAAACTGGTTGATCCACTATGAGAAGGTGCTTTTATAAGACTGAGTTTGTTGCAGCTTCTCAGACTGAAGAAGTCCTTTGGATAAAAGACGGAACATTTAAACAAAAATTGGGGATTGGTGGATGAATCTGTCCAGAGGACCTGACTTAACTTTGTTCAACGGTAGAGAAGAATCTTGAATTATGTTGACAGTGTTTCATTATACAAAAACCAGGAGGTTCTTCTCCTTAGAGTTCCCCTTTGATGTCACTTCCTGTTTCACTTTAACTGTGCAAGTTCAACAGAAAATATGCCCGTTGTCATTAAAATAAGAAATATCAGGTAATATGTCAAATTTCTTAAATAGTAAGTTGTTTTTCCACATTTCTGTGTTTGTAGGATTTGCACGTTATAAGGTTTAGCTGTGGTGGCCAACTTTTTCCAGAAGTTGAATCGGTTGCAGATTTAGATCTGTCAATTATGTTCTGCAGTCTAACAAAGTTAAGTTGGGTCCTCTGGATGGATTCACCGAGGGGGGAGAAAAAATAAAAACTTGTTGAAATGATCAGCCTATCGTGCTCAAGAGTGCTGAGTACGAAAGACGAAACGTTGCAATAAGTGTTTTTGTTTTTAATCTGTCCAGATGAGCTGACTTAACTTGGTTATATTTTTCTACTTGGGATTATTGAGCATGCGTCATGATATGTTCTACAAGTTTCACTAAAGTCCCTCCAGTGGTCGATGAACTAACACTACAGATGCAAAGGCAAAAAAAAAAAAAACCTTATCACCACTTTGTCATCAGTGCATTTACAAAACTGCTTAGTTGCTTATGAAGGATGAACTCTTGAAAATTCCCTCATTTTTAGGATTTACCTCGTCTTGAGAACTTCTTCAGCCTGACCGTGATGCAAAGTTGCATATCGCCCGCCAAGCTCAGTGCCAAAGTTTTAACTAATGCTTTAAGTGTTGATCAGTCTCGGCTACTACATCATTTTACCTCAAAATCTTAAAAATGGCAGTTGTAGCCATTTTTGCTTTACTGATGTCAGAGGAAAAGCAACTAACCTTGATGGGTTTTTAAATTTCCCATCAGCTGTTGAATGGAACTGTGGGATTATCTACGCCTCCACGTGTTTCCGTCTCCTTCAGGGTCACAGACGAGCTCCGGTTGTTCAAACGGCTAAGATTCCCACACGTGAGGAACATGTATTTACTTGAGGTTTGTTTCGGAGTTAATGACACCGTGGCTCTGCAGCAGATGAATCCTGGGAATTTGTAACCAGTTTATGACAGACTGGTGGGTCAGAGCTTCAAAAAGTCGAAGCATATAATTTCCAGTCTTCTTTTTTTTTTGTGCTCTCATGAAGTTTAAATTTTTTTTTCCAGTTGGCTCGTCTGGATTCGCCTGTTTACATCGTCTACAGCCTGAAGTTGTCAAAGAAATGAAAAGTGTGACTGAATAAGTATGAAGATGAACTGGTTTTGAAAAATAGTCGCACTTTTAGAACAAGATTCACAAATGCATAAATAGTATTTCAGATGTACTTGATTCAAATTGCACAAGTAGGAATATTATGCGTATTGTAGTCCCCAGTTTATATCGGTTCCGTACCCCGCCCCCGCACGATAAGTGGAAAAACCGTGAAGTAGTTCAAGTTGCGTAAACTTTGTCATGACGGGCCAGGCTGTTATCACTCGTCGCCTGATGCTCCCAATCTCCCTCCTTGTGTAAATAATTTTAAATTTAAATACTGTTATATGTAAAATAAACAATCCATGCTGCATGGATGGTTTAAAATATTTAAATTGTAGCGAAGCACAGCAGGACATCAAAGGGTTATTAACCCACAGCTCTGCAGCACGGAGCAGAAATGTACTTCATCATTTACACTGTAACAACTGAATATAGAAGTTCTAAAATAACTTAACACTACTTATATTTTGTGATTATGACAATTTTATGATGTGACATACTTTTGAATTTTAAGTTGGTACACAAAAGTCGATCGGTGCATCTGGACAGGAACAGGTTAACTAGGGGTGCACCGATAAATCGGCCGGCCAATTTATTGGCCCCAATTTCCTTAATTTTGGGTGATCGCCAATCAGCCAATACCGATTTTATTTATTTTTCTTTTCGTTAACAACAATTGTCTGAACTTCATTTATATTTCAGAACACTACCACATGGTCCGTTAAAACCAGTTTGTATTGTTTCTAGGGTATTGTTCAAAGGGCAGGGGTCTGCAACATGCGGCTCTGGAGCCAGATGCGGCTCTTTGGTTCCTCTGCAGTGGCTCTTTCAAATTTTGACCAAAACTGACATAAAACTGAATTTTGTTATACAAAGAAGGACTAGTTCAGTTTTCCTGTCCTATTTTTTTGTAAATATGTGAACCTGGAGCGAATAAGAGTGAAACATACTTTAACTTGATGCTTCATTTCTTTATATGAAGAACTGGCTGCATAGTTTACATATTTTTTTATTATTTTTTTAATAAAAAAAAAAAAGTAAAAGATAAGAGGTGGGGGGACCTCTTACAAGAATTTGGTCTTTTTCTGTAATAAATGTTAAAAATCATTAGATATTTTTTGTTTTGTTTTACGTCAACCCTACTGGCCACAAAAACCTCTAGCAAATCTAAAGTGTGTCATGGGCTCAGTTGATGACTACAGTTGTAGCAGATTGTTGCGGCTCCGGACACATTTAATTTAGTGAACAAAAGTGTAAAAATGGCTCTATCGTAAATGTTGCAGACCCCTGTTCAAGGGTATGTTTTTCAATAAAATAATGGAAAATTGAAGGTGCATTGTGACCTTATCGCACCCGACAGTGTTTCTTTATAAAACAAAATCAGAATAGTCAGGTCAGACTTTATTTAGAGATCGATGATCGGCCAGAAAACTACGATCGGTGCATCCCTCTTTCATGAAGCTGCTGCAGCCGGAGGAGAAAAAATGGGAAGGAGCTTCCCCAACACATGGTGCTAAATCATTAAAAAATGTATTTTAAATAAACGATCTATGGCTCATGCATCAGCCAATTGTGTGTCATGTCCAATCTTACTTTAAAAAAAACCTTGATAGAGTGAGTCCGTGATAAACAAACAGTGAAGTAGCGAGGGACTACTATATAAATTGTCAAATACACAAATCGCCAGTTGTGGAGGGATCAGCTTGCTGTGAATGTGACTTTTGAGATTTTCTCCAAATTCAAAGATATTGCTGCGTTCAAAGCTGGGACATCTCGGCGTTACCAAATTTACCGAGGTATCCGAAAAATACACGTTTTTAACTTGGCACAATGGCATTTTCCGGTATCTTTGGCAAAACAATTCTGAAAAATATTTTTCCAGTAGTTTTAGCTGTGGAAGTATAATCCACCCTGTCGCAACACACACACACACACACACACACACACACACACACACACACACACACACAGTAAATGTTAATTTTGTGGACTGTACAGCTGCAGTAAACGTCAAAAGTGGTTAGATTATTTCCTTTGTAGAAAAACTGTTACAATGCAATTTATGTGCACACGGTATTTTTACTTGTGCAATTTGACATGTATATCTCAAAAAAAAAAACCAAAACCTGCCTTTTTTTGAATGTTGTTGTTCACTTGGATCTTGTTGTGTACCCATGGGTGTGACTACTTGTACGACTAATTTATCTTCATACTGGGAGCTTTTTGATGAGTTGCGGGGAAAGCAAATAAAAAAGTATTTATTTTTAACTCAAAGATGCAGTGTGGGAACATTCATTCTGAAAATCATTAGTGACTGAGTCCGTTAACTATGTAATTATCCCCCACCATTTAGAAAAATTGTCTGTTTATGCTTGCGTGTGTCTGTTGGCAAAATGACTCATGAACCACTAGATGGATTTTAATACAACTTTTAAGACTATGCTGAACTGCTGTACCTCTGCAATAGATTACATTTAGGAGTTGGTCCAAATCAAGATGGCAGCCACAAATAATCATTACAGTAGTCCCTCGTTTATCGCAGGGGTTTGTTACCCTGCCCCCCATAAGTGAAAAACCGCAAAGTAGGAATACAGTAGGCCAAGTACAGTAAACTTTCTTACCATGTCAGGCTGTAATTACACTCACCTGTTGCTCCCAATCTCCCTCCTTGTGTAAATAAACAATTTAAAATGTAAATACTGTAATATTTTAAACAAACAATCCATGCTGCATGGATTGTTTGTTTAAAATATTACAGTATTTTAATTGTAGAGAAGAGAAGCGCAGCAGGACATACACAGCAGCCAGAGCAGAAATGTACTTCTTGGATCAGTTACATTGAAACAACTGAACATAAATTTATAAAATTATTACAAATAACTTTTAACACATATTTTATGATTATAACGATTTTACGACTTGACATACTTTAAATTTTAAGTTGGAAGACAAGCCGATCGGTGCATCTGGACAAAAATGGGTGTACATATGGTTATGTTATGGTTTTAATTTTACTTATTTGTGGGTGTACACAGGCTTATGTCTTGTGTAATGTTCTCATTTTTACTTAATTTTTACTTTATTTTACTTTACTACTATTCGCACCTTATGTCGAAGCAAATTCCTAGTTTGTGAACCTCGTTCATTGACATGGCGATAATAAACTGATTCTGATTCTGATTCTGAAAAAAGGGTTAACCCTTCACGAAGCCGATGCAGCCGGAGGAGAAATGTGGGCGTGGCAGAGAGCCGCAAGTGGCTGAGAGTGGAGATCATGACAGGCTAGAGGGAGGGAGCTTCTCTGTGCACCTGTGGGCTGCACGCAGGTGCTAAATATTTCAAATTATTTAAAATAAACATGGCTCATCCATCAATCAGCCACTTGTGTCATGTCCAATCTTTTTTTGAAAAACCGCGATAGAGCGAGTCATCGTAAAACGAATCGCGAAGTAGCGAGGGACTACTGTAGTAGCTATCAGATAAATGACTGTAACTCTGTTTTGAAGATGTACAATTAAATTTGATTTACCTGCTGGGAGGTGCAGCACATATATGGACATATGGCAGTATCTTGTGTGACTGCCTTTTTAAATTTATGTATTTTTTTGACCAGCACATTACACCATTTTTCAATCTAAACTAATTTTTAATGTTCAGGCTCGAGCAGCGGTGAACTTTGAATTTCTTTATCTCCTTTTGGCTTAAAACTCCCTTGGCTTGTAACTTAGTCCTAGATTTTCCATGTAGTGTTTAATACAAAATAAAGCTTAGATTTAATGTAAATTTGTCACCATCCTGAGTTTAGATTCTAATTATTGGCTTTGTTTTTTAATAAGAGGCTGGATTTGGTTGGATTCTTCTAATAGAAAGCAGCTCTGTTCGTGTGGTTGTTGGCCGTGTTGTCGGTGATTTAATGGTATCATTTCAGGTAAATAAATTCCTGAGTGAATTCATTGTTTTATTCCAATAATTCCTGCAGTCCAAACCCTCAGCAGGTCTCCTGGCAGCTCGCTGCCGGCCGCAGCTTTGACTTTTGAAGCTGCTGAGGCTCGGCATGCCAGGGAGCTGTGGAAAGTGGGTTTCACCAAACCACCACCAGATATTTTGAGCTCTCACCAACAAAATTAACTCTCATTTGTTCAAAGTCTAAAACAAATATCTGCATGTGTGACTTCCAAGAAGAAAAACGCTGTTGGCTGCATTTCTTTGCGTTGTTACTGAGACTTACTGAGACTTGGAATATTTTCATGTGCTCTTTAAAAATCTTTTTTTTTTTTTTTTTAATCACTGTAGTTTGACACTTTTGGGGGTTTTATTAGCCCAATTAGAGGTATTTCTGTAATGGTAAAGGCTTATAAAGTTCACTGACGAGAAGTTGGGAACAAATTGTTTTAACCAATTATTCATGTGGTCTATAAAAGAAAAATGTTCATTAATTTCCTGGTACAAAAGGTCTCAATGTCTCGTTTTGTTTATCAAGACTTTTTAGACCCTCAGATGTTCAGATTAAACCCTTTTTTTACAGATTAAAAACACAAACCAGGGAGGACGTTTAGGGGACAGAAAAACTTTCAAATCTTGACATCAATGTTGATGCTCAATAATTCAGATAAAAACTCCAAAGTTAAGTCCTGGACGTGCTTTTTTAAAAAAAAATAATTTTTTTTATATAACCGTTTTGTCCATCCAAAGGACTTTATCAGTCCGAGGAACCACAACAAACTCAGTCCCATAGGTGTCTTACTCATAGTGGGCCAACCAGTTTTATGGCGATGAGATAGTTTCTGGATTATTGAGCATGAACTTTGATGTCTTGAACCACTTTGGCTATGGCTGCCTCAGCAGAGTGAAATGTTTGCCCACAGAACAGTACACCACCCATGTCTGAGTGAATTCTCATTCTTGAAGTGCAAAAAGACAAAATATATATTTTTTTTATCCGTAGTAAACTGTTTTGAGTATTTTAACCGAAGAAATCTGAAAAATTTGGCTAATTTGTTTTTAATAAATTTTATATCACAAGTTAAAGGCAAGCTTGTAGTCGATAGGTCGGGGGTTCGAATCTCTGGAATGACGATTAAAAAAATGTTGTTTAGAAAGGTGAAACACCCACACCTGCCTCCCTCATTTGTCCCACTCTAGGCCCCTTTAACCCCCCCCCCCCCCCCCCCCACACACACACACACACACTCACACAGCTGTTCACCAGGCTTCTTGGATTGCAATAGCTCTGTGGTTGCGTTAGGAAGGACATCTGACGTAAAAACAATTGCCAAATCTTCCATACGAGTTTGCTCGCTGTGGCGACCCATGGGGTGGGGGGTGGGGGGCTGTAATCCTTTGAGTTCAAAGGTCACAAAGCTTGAATAAGTTGGGTTCTGTAGAGTTGAAACAATTTTCAACAAGCCACTCAGTTGTTTGTGGCAAAAGCATTTTTTAAAAATGGTTTTGTTGTTGTGAGAGGAGTCGTGCAACATTGACACCCCCAATGACTCCTGAAGCTCGTTGCGCAAAACCACCTGATCATCTGCGTACAATGTTACAGCATCTGTTTCTGTACAAAGTTTCAAGCCTGTCTGTGGGGAATTCGGTTGAAATTGGAGCGTCTGTACATGGTTAGTTGTGCTAATTTGGTTTTATTGCAGATTTTTGGTTTTACATATCCTAAACTTTTAGTCCTTAAGGCCTCTGATTGTCTTACTACTGACATTCCTTCTCTTTCAGCATGTTGTCGGACAGAAGCAACCGTCCTGTTGGTTTGATTCTGTGAAGCATTGAATCAAAGACATTTGTCTCCAGTTAAAAGCTACACACTATTTCAGTCCTAATCAATGTTTCTTTACAAGTTGTCGCTTTTGTTAAACCTTAAAGTTGAAACATTATTCTGAAGAGACGCCTAAAAAAATCAACAGGTGAAAGCCGTATCAAATCAAAACCTTATAAACTGAATTTAAATCATGGGGCTCTGTATTGTGTCTTATCCATCAATTATCTTTAACCACTTCTTCTTTTCTGGGTCACCGGGGGCACTTGTACCCAAGTCCAGATGTCACTGCGAGAGGTGGGGGATATCCTGAATAGGTCACAAGTCCATCACAGGTTGACATGGAGACAAAAATTCACACTCATCTTAGGCCAATTGGTTGCTCTAAATAGTTCCTAACATGAATGTTTTTGGTATATGGGAGGAAATCTGAGTACTCTCAGAAAAACCATACATGCACGGAGAGAACATGCAAACTCCATCCAGAAATGTCCCAGGCCAAGATTTGATCCTGCAACTTTCTTGTTGGGAATTTGTAGCTTTAGCAATTGTACCACTATACGGAGTCAAATATTCATCTAACCAATCTTTACTATTCATTCTTTTTAATCCAGACCTGATTTAGCGCTCCAGTGTCCTCGGCACCATGAGTTGGAGTTTTCTGACGCGTCTGCTGGATGAGATCTCGAACCACTCCACCTTCGTGGGGAAGATCTGGCTCACCGTGCTCATCGTCTTCCGCATTGTGTTGACGGCTGTCGGCGGTGAAACCATCTACTACGATGAGCAGAGTAAATTTGTCTGCAACACCCAGCAGCCGGGATGTGAGAACGTGTGCTACGATGAATTTGCGCCACTCTCCCACGTCCGATTCTGGATTTTCCAGGTACGCCGTATAGTAACTTGCAATTAATGCTCTTGGAAAAGGTCTTACTGAATGACCCTCATCCTCTTCCAGGTGATCATGATCACCACCCCAACCATTATGTACCTGGGCTTTGCCATGCACAAGATCGCCCGCATGGACGACTGTGAGTACCGACCCGTTAGAAACAAGAAGAGGATGCCCATCGTCAGCCGTGGGGCGGTGCGGGACTATGAAGAAGCAGAAGACAACGGAGAGGAAGACCCAATGATTGCAGAGGAGATCGAACCAGATAAACCAGAAAAAGTAGACAAAAGTAAGAACTTTATTTTAGGATGCGCTGTAAAGCTGACAGATCTAACACACAAGGGTTTTTTATTTATTAATTCCTCCATTTCATACAAATGTGTAAATTTTAGGTCAAGTATCTGAGTCTTGTTCTCAGTTGATAGTAGAATGGCGGTGGCGCCACCCAAGGGGGCCAGTGGGATGCCAGCTACCCCTAAAACATTAGTGTTGTCCCCCGCTTTGGCCAGAGTTTTGAGTTTTTGCTTGAGTATTTTTTATTTCTCCAAGATATTTATGATTAGTAGAACCTCAAACTCAACGAGCCATATTTTGGAGCAATTGGGAATTAAAATAAACATTATTAAAAATATATATATACTTCTAAAACTTCTAATTCCCTTGAATAAGAACAGGTCTAAAATTAATATCCTCAACATTGATAGGAGCTCACAGATGTTGTATTCATAACTTTTTTTTTTTTTTTTTTTTAATAAATTTAAGTTTATTTTTTCCCCCCCCCCCCCCACCACCAAAAAAAAAAAAATCTCTCACACACAGTTTGACATTCTTTTGTGGCTTTTAGTTTATTGTGCCACCTCAAGACTTTCAAAGTCCCCCCCCCCCAACCCCCACACACATGCTGAGGTAAGCTAGATGCATATGCGGATTGCCTTATTGATCCTCACTCGGGGTTTGTTACAATTTTTGTTTTTGCTATAAATGTTTATGAACACAACCTTTTATCTAGAAGTCTGAAAACTTTGTTTAATTTCCTCCTCGATAGAAGACTAAATCAGTCTTATTTTCTTTTAAGGCTCAGAGAAAAAGCATGATGGTCGTCGGCGGATCCTGCGTGATGGCCTGATGAAGGTCTACGCCTGCCAGCTGTTCTGGCGCTCCACCTTCGAGGTGGCCTTCCTGTTTGGCCAGTACGTGCTCTACGGCTTCGAGGTGATCCCTTCCTACGTCTGCTCACGGTCTCCGTGCCCGCACACAGTGGACTGTTTCGTGTCTCGGCCGACAGAGAAGACCATCTTCCTGCTGGTGATGTACGTCGTGTCCTTCCTCTGCCTGCTCCTCACAGTCTTGGAAATCATCCATTTGGGGGTCGGCGGCGTCCGGGATACTTTCCGCAAGCGAGCGGCTCTCGGCTCGCGATCTCGCCGCCTGCCTTCGGCTCGCTCCATACCCACGGCCCCGCCCGGATACCACGCCACCATGAAGAAGGAGAAACTGAAGGGAGAGTTGAGGGACTTGCCCATGGGCGACTCCGGGCGAGAGAGTTTTGGTGATGAGGGTCCCTCAACCAGGGAGCTGGAGCGGTTGAGGAGGCACCTGAAGATGGCGCAGCAGCATCTGGACCTGGCATACCAGGTGGATGAAGGAAGTCCGTCACGCAGCAGCAGCCCAGAGGTCAACACGGCTGCCCAGACAGCTGCGGAGCAGAACCGCCTCAACTTCGCCCAAGAGAAGCAGGGAGAGTCAACCGAGAAAGGTAATTATGTCACCGTTTGGGTTGTTGGGTTCAACAGATTTTGTGGAGTTTTTTTTTTTTTTAACCTGAGTTTACTTGGACTCTGTTCAGTTGCACAAAAAACTTTTTAAAATAACTTGCAGACCTAATCATTCCTGAAGTATTTTGAGTTGGCACCAAATAAACAACTTTTTTTTAAATCAAGAATCGCAGAGCTGCAGCTGCCGTTGGTTAACAAAAAATAACTCTAAAGGTTATAAAACAGCTAGAGGATTTATTAGCAAATGATGTATTTGTATAAAAACCTGCACAGGTTTCAAGATAAGAACACCAAACTTTGATTAAAGCTGTAAATCTTCAACCAGAGAATGTTGGGTTGGAAGGCCAATCCTGTCGTTCGTGGTGCTTCAGGTTCATGAATTTCATCTTTAAAGTCCTTCAATAAAATGAGGGAAGTGGTCAACGGGAAACGTTAAAGCGTTCAAAATGCCTTTAATTTCATGTTTGTGAAAACTAGTTTGACCAAGAAGCTGGAACCGAACCTGGTCCTCGTCTGCTGTGGGTCCAGAACAGTTCCACAAAAAACTCAAAGATGTAAGCTTATAATAAATACATTTACTGAATTGAAATTATGCAAATGAAACCAAATGTTTACATACACTGTATATACAAACATTATTTTTTTGAATTTCACTATTTGACATTAAATCAGATTAAACATTTTCCTGTTTCAGGTCCGTTGTGGGGGGGATGACTAATAGCGTTAGCTTCAAAGCTAATAATGTTAGCTCCAGGACTAACGACAATAGCTCCACTGCTAGCTTCAGAGCTAATAACATTGGCTCCAGGGCTAAGAGCATTAACTTCAGAGCTAATGGCGTTAGCTCCGGGGCTAATGGCGTTAGCTCCGGGGCTAATGGCGTTAGCTCCGGGGCTAATGGCGTTAGCTAAACATCACAAGTTGATCACTTTTGATCATTTTGACTCGTATCTCGTTCATAATGAATAATAAAAAACATAAATTTATTGTCATGTTATAACTTTTAGCCTTGACTTATTGTTTTAGTCTCTAACTGTCTCTAATTGGGAGAGACAATTAACACATTCTCGAGTAATGACAAATCAGTTGTAGTCATACACCAGTAAAATAATGGTGACATCCTTGGGTGAAAAATTTAAAACTTATTTCAGTAAGAGTTCATCTGCCACAAATAACAATTTTTAGTAGAATAGAGTATCAACATGTTAAGTCCAATATGTGCAAGTAGTCGGATACTTTTAAATCAAACCTCAGCCATCCAAAATTTGTGACTCAGTCCCAGAGAAAATTTGTGGACAGAATTGAAAAGGTGACCTACCAAGTGGATTCAGTTCTGTCAGGAGGAATGAGAAAAACAACAAATTATTAAAAGCTCCTGGAACATAACCAGGAAATATCACTGTATGTCATTTTTCTGTGCTGCTGATCATCCATGCTGCTGATTTCTTGCCTTTAAACAGCTATATTCATACCCATCTGCTCATAACAGACTCATGTTCAGGCTACTGTTTAATACATTATTATATTATAATATTGTTTATCGTATATCTTAAGAGTCCAACTCATTTACAAAAATGGGGCCAAAATTAAAACCTTTTTCAAACTAAGGGCCAATTTCAGAAACTTTATTAACTCAAGTCCCATACCCAGCTACTAGGCCTGTCACGATAACGCATTTTGCTGGGTGATTAATTGTCTCAGAAATTAATTTGATAAACGATAATATTGTTTGAAATTTGGCATTTAGTGTCAAATTAAATAAAACTAGTCACATCTTTTAATCATCTTTTGAATGCTAATTCGTTACATCAAAAAAAGGTGAACTTCTTTACACTTTATAAAATTTTTTTAAAGTGATTCTTTTGCACACGCACACACAAACATCAATAATGAGAAAATGTTTGTCTTTCATGTTTTTAGTATTTGGTAACTTTGCCTTCAAACCGTCTGACTGGGGTCAAATGTTTTTGGTTAGGGATTTAGAAGTCTTAACAGCTTTCCCTTTAGGCTTTATGATAAAGAATCAGGTTTTCTCTGAAATTCAAACGTGTATTAGTTTGAATTTGTGGTTTTGGACATTTTTCCTTGATGTAAATGTTTTTTTTTTTTTTTTTTTTTTTTCTACCAGGAATCCGTGCCTGAGCATCCTTCTACTCCTACTGGCCTTAAACATGAAGGGGGAGCACATATGGGATGCAGTCAGACCACTGAGGGAGGTGTGCGTGTGTGCGCGCACGAGTGTGTGTGTGTCTGCGCACGAGTGTGTGTGCGTACGAACGAACGAGTGTGTGTGTGTGTGTGTGTGTGTGTGTGTATTATTAGTCAGTAAAAACCCAGCTTCTGACTGAGCCGTGTTGTGATGCACGTTTCATCTTCACTACACGAAAACTTGACATCCTGCCACATCTGGACTTCCTGCTTCAGCTGAACGGTCTCCCAGATGTTTCGCCCGGCTCACGTCGGACCACTCCAGACTCCTCGGGTCCTTCTGGCCGAGCAGTCACTGTTTTGTTTCACCGAGGAGGGTTCTCTCTTTGCGACCCGTCACTGAATCGTACGGGCTGTCTGTCGAGGCTTGTTCTCGCAGCGCAGCCTGGGGTTGAGTCTCTCTCAGAGCGCGTGCCATCTTTTTTGTTTGTTTTGTTGAAGAAGGTTGGCCTCACCCGTTCCTGAGCAGTGACTCCCAACAGATTGCGGTTCAGTGAGTTCATCTTTCCATAAATGTTCAATGTTTCCGCTCCAAATCAGCCGAGATCTGTACCTGGGCAATGCTTGAATTCTTCTTTGAGGGTGTGGGGGGGGAGAGAAACAAAGTTGTGCAGAAATGATTCTCCATCAGTTAAAATATTCAGTGTTTTTTAATCAGCGCATTTTATTCAGCATCATATAATCCACGTCTCACTTTACAGCTTCAAATAATAAACCTTTTCCTGGCTTTAGACAATATTACAAAAGCATCTCAATCACTTTAAACATTTATATTTTTTGCATTTTAATTTCTTTCTGGTGACTGCTCTCAAAATAAACATGCTCTTTTTTTTTTTTCCCTCTGTGCTCGGGGACCAAAAAGTTGTAAAAACCAAAGTATTTAATCTGCGGCTGCAGACGAGCCAAAGATTCGATGAGTCAGCGATCTCTCTGCTCACTACAGTTTTACTGCGATGCCACATTCCACTTCAGATATCCTTCAGTGCTTCCTGTTTCATTCTGCTGCAGGTTTTGTAGTTTTTGTAACTGTAGAGATTTATTTTGTCTTAAGAATAAAATAACGATATTTGGATTAAACAGCTTTGCTCTGAGTCGTTAACTTCTGTGAGAAACGTTTGCTTTTGTTAAACAGAATGGGCGATGATTGAAAGTTTTGAGTAGTTTGTCCTGCAGTCCCATCTAGAGGAACATTTGTGGAAACTCATCAGGATTTAAAGTTGAACAGATGCTTTTAAATGTTTATTTACAAAAGATAAATGGCAGAAATGCCCCTTTTAATTTGACAGACTTGTAATGGTTCAAATATTAAAACTTATTTTGCTTTGGAAGTGTAAACCATTACAAAACGGTGAAAATTTTGCATTTAACTTTTTTTTTTTTTTTAAATGTGTAAATATTTGACTAACACAGGTTCATGGTTTCTTGCCTTTTATGATGAACTTTTAATTTCACTTTATTTTTATATCCTTGGTATCGCTGTGGATTTTCTTTCGTGTTTGTAAAATTTAACATTTTTAGAATAGATTTCCTGAAATTGAACAATATATAAAAAAAATTTAAAAAGCCTTTAATGCCAAAAATCATTCTGAATGCTGCAATGTAATTGAAACTAAAACTATAATGAAGCACAAAAATCAATGGAAGGTAGTGGAACAGCAGTTAGAAATCAATAGATGAAGCAGATTAAATTAAAATGCATAAATTAATTAAAAATTTTATTTATGTAATTTGATTATATAAAAATAAGCACTACAACCCTGAAGATGGCACCAATCTCCTATTTGTTTTGATAGTTTATAAACTAGCATGAAGTATCCAGAAGGAAATGATATTAAACGATGTCAAGTCAACTTTATTTATAAAGCACATTTTAAACAGCAGCTGTTACCAAAGTGCTTCACGATAAAAAGCAATGGCTGTAATTTAATGGGGGGGAAAAAAATATGGTACTGAAAAAAAATTAAATGAAAGCATCAAAAGTAAAACGTTAAAACAGAATAAAATGCTAAATCAAATCACACTGTTAAAAACCAGAAAACATGAGATTTTAGCAGAGATTTAAAAACAGGAAGTGAAGTGGCCTGTCTGATGTTGGGGTGGGGGGGGGGACGGGGACAGGTTGGTCCAAAGTTTGGGGCCCATAACTGAACGAACATATGGTTCCAGTTGCTGAGATGAGGGTGCAAGGCCATATGCACTTTAGGGGGTTGGCAGTAGAATTTTAACATTATTCCGATACACAGGGAGCCAGTGAAGGGAGGACAAAAAGGGTAAAATGTGCTCAAAACTACGAGTTCCTGTTCAGAGCGCAGCTGCAGCATTTTGGACAAGCTGGAGAGGAGGTCTGATCTGGTCGCCACAGACTTAAACGTGGCTGTCTGCTTCAACTGGAAGAAGTTTTTTTTTGTCTAAACCAGAGTTAATCTGTTGATTAAACTTGAAGTCAGAGTCTAAAACCGTGATGGTTTTAGACTCTGACTTCCAAGTTTATTCGATTCGTAATCGTAACAGACTGCTAAGATATGGATAGAGTTGAGGTTTACAGGAACAGGGTCAGAGGTCAGCAACATTTTTACTGAAAAGAGCCACTTCTGCCACTAAATAAAATTTATCTGGAGTCAAAAAACTGCTTATCAACTGGTGGCCCATGGGCCACTTAAGAGGTTGTTGGAGGAGGGCTTTTCTGATCAGTTGGGGTGACATAAAACATTAAAAAATAAAAAATAAATTTTACATTTTAGGGTAAAACATTTATACGGAGTCTACAGGCTTATGTGAGTCTTTTTTTCTGACTTAAAATCAAGAATACCAGTGTGAAGTAATGAAACGTAAATTTAAAGTATGCATTTTGCTGGACAAGTTATTGATTTAATTTTTTTGTTTGAAAGATCCACTGTAAGCCTGGAGGTTGGATAAATGAAATGGTACCGTATTTTTTGGACTACAAGGTGCACTAAAACCCCTTTTAATTCTCTCAAAAATCAACAGTGAGCCTTATAATCAGGTGCACCTTCTTTATTAATAATGGTTGTGCTAACTGACCTTGAACCCATTTTATGTGGCTATTGTGAATGAGTTGAATAAAGTTTGACTCATCTGTTTTGTTTTGCTTAATGCGCGTTATAGTCCAAACAATACGGTAACACATTTTGCGCCTTGCACTAGTATCTTTCACAAATTTACAGAAGATTAACCAAAAAAAAAAAACTGCTAAAACTCATTTTCTGTTGTAGGTATAAAGAAAAAATTACAGTATCACGTTAGTTCCGGTCAAAGCTTCAAAGGGCCTCAGATGAGAGACTAAAGAGCCGCATGTAGCCCCGGAGCCACAGGTTGCAGACCCCTGAGTTAAACACGATGACTTCAGTTTTCTGATCATTAAAACTTAACAAGTTTGAAGCCATGATGTCATCGAGACATTATAACAGAGGGTGAATGGAGGACGAAGATAAATCTGACTATCATCAGTGTAACAATGAAATAAAGTTGAGCTCATTAAAGCGCCGTAAAGAACCTCATGACTTTTTTTGGCGTTCTGGACGACACCTCTTCAGATGCAGGTGCACTCTTCAGGCATGATGTTGGGCAGGGTCTCGTGCTTGAACGAGTACCCACCATCAGACGTTGTGGTGATCCTCAGGGACCTCATGGTCCCCGGGGCTGGAGCGCAGCACTGGGAGATCCCCAGTGCGGCAGTTGTCCGGTCCTGAGCCGAGCAGTTCCCATGGCAGTAGTAGAAGGTCAGCGCCTTGGGGTGCACCACCCAGTTGTCCCAGCCCAGCTCCTCAAAGCTGATCTGGATCTCCTCTCTGCGGCAGTCATCCTGCTGGGGCCTCTCTTCTGAGGGCCGTTGCAGGAGGTAGATGGCTGAGGGGGACCAGGGGATAGTCGGGGCTGCGTTTCGGGGGGAACGGACCGGGCTTCTGGGCTTGACGTGGATGTGCAAGAAGGGAGTCTTGTCTGGATGGGTTGTTTGGCACGGACGCCGGCAGCAGATCCAGAACAAGAACGGCCCGTCAGCCACAGAGGTCAGAGAGCTTTGGACCAGACTGTAGGTGCTCCATCCATCAGAGCTGGACTCAGTTGGAGCCAGGAAGTGCTGCTGTTCAGAGGTGAGGGTGAGGAGCAGGGAGGAAGAGTTCACTCCTTCCCCTGAGAAGAACCACAACTGAGCAGAGGTGATGGTAAAGTGTCGGAGGCTGATGGAGGGTTGGAAGTGGAGCGTGAAGCAACTGTTGGTGCTTTTTCTCATCTCTGACTGGGCACAGGAGGAACCTAACAAATAACGAGAAGAATGAAACATTTTACTTTGATCCAGCCATGAAGTCCATCTGTGGACATATGGTGAACTCTGCTGTCCTCTAGTGGCTAAACTTGGCAGAACATAAAGTGTTTTAGTAGTACAGTTTTGCTTGTGTTAGCAAAATGCCTAAAAGACCAATCACCTGATTTTATTGAAATTATTACATAATCAAATCAAGAACTGATAAATGTTTGGGGTCAACCTGATTAAAGTCCAACACCCACCAGATTTTCATATATTCATAATATACAGGTATACACAGTACTTGAACTTGTACTTCTATCCCTACTTCTCGGTTTTTCACTTATCGCGTGGGCGTGGCTTCTAAACCTCGCGATAAATGAGGGACTACTGCGTCTATACTGTATGTTTTGTGGTAAATGTTGAAAAATAACGCACACTGGTTTTAAAAACATCGTTTTTGTGAATTTCTGATCTAAAGAAATATAATGAAAAATAAACATTTTTAAAACCAGTTTTTCAACATTTACAATAAACAGACATTTGTTTCATCTATCATATTTTGAAACAAATACATTTTTTTTGGGGTGTGTGCAAATTTCATGGAGGGTGGTGGTGCAGTGGTTAGAGAAGGTGGGCCTGTGATTAGGAGGTCGCCGGTTCAACTCCCGGGACCGACAACATCAAAATGTGTGCGGGAAAGATGAAGCACCCACACCCCCTCCACCCTCACTCCGGACCCTTGAGCAAGACTCTTAACCCCCACCATCTGCTCCCCTGGGCGCCCAAGATGGCAGCTCTCCAGTGTTTCCCCTACCATTATAAAAATGGGGCACCCTGCTCCATCAACAGAACCGACCTCCCTGTGCAGCAAACCCCACCCCCTGTCAACAACTGTATGTATGTTAGGGCTGGACAATAATTCGATATCGATATATATTGCGATATACTTTTATTCAATAACGAGTGCCCATGACCGTCAGAATGTGACTGAACAAGCTTTCACAAGCAAAGAGAAAGCAAATGGCATAATTGATAAGAGAGGAAAGACTAATTCGGCAACGTGGAAGTGATTTGGCTATCTAAGATCTGATAAACTGCAGGTTTCAGTGTTCTGCAAAATGTGACGGAGAGTCGTTCCAACTAGCGGTGGGAACACATCTAACTTGTTCCACTCGATAGAAGATGCTGAGTCAGAAGATGAAGCACAATAAAGTTTGAGCCAATGTGTCCCTGAAACTTGGGCTTTCTTTCCCTGGGCTTTCTCTGATGCAGGTCCATGACTGTGGAATGAGTTGCCACTGAGTGTCCGGCAGGCTCCCACACTCTCAGTCTTTAAGTCTCGCTTGAAGACCCACTTCTATTCTCTTGCCTTTAACACGGTGTGATTTGTTTGGTCCTGTCTGTACTCTACACTGTTGGCCATTTTAGTTAGCTTCTGCTGCTATTTGTATCTGTATTTTTATTTTATGTTTTCCTGTCCGCTGTGCATGTTTGTTTTCTTTTGTACAGCACTTTGGTTGGCCTTGTTGCTGTTTTAAGTGCTCTATAAATAAATTGGTATGGTATGGTATGGTATGGTATGGTATGAAACAACTCCTCCAGCTGTATCAAAAGAGAACCCTTAGTTTAGGTTAAATTATGTTGTTTAAAGTTAAAACTATTAATATTGACAAAGTTGAGCGTTTCATATTTATTTGACGTGATTTCAAATTTCTTTGAATGCTAAATACAAAGAAAAGGTGAACATTAAGTTATCTGTACAGTTTGTACAGTTTATTGTTTATATCGATAGTGAATTATATCATTATCGACCGAAATTAAGAAATATATCGTGATAAAAGTTTTGGCCATATCGTCCAGCCCTAATGAATGTACAGATGTAGTGGGTGCAATATAAACGCGCTAGCAAAAATGCTACCGACGCAGCGCTCGGCTCCACGCCTCCCCCACAGCAGCAACATAGCGCTAAAACAAAGATGAGACCCCCGCCTCCCCCATCATTAAAAACCGGCAGCAACGTAGCGCTAAGCTAGCAGGCAGGCAACACAGACATGACTCCACCTCTTTCCCCGCCCACAAAAAAAAAGGAAGAAAAAGATGAGCGCCCTGCCAAGGGAGTTGATCTAGAGGAAACACTGGCTCTCTGCTCCACACAGAGGGCTGTGGTAGCTCGGTGGTCTATGGTTGAGTCAGGAAGGGCATCCGGTGTAAAAACAATCACCAAGTCTTTGTGAGTTAGTTCACTGTGGTGACCCGTGAAGAAGGGAGCAGCCGAAAAAAGAAAAATCACATTTGAAGCAAGTTGGCATTGGAAGAAGTGGCAAAAAGAAAAAACCTTCTACGCCCTCGTCAATCAACCTCACCGAACTAACAAACAGACCACCTCCATTCTGCCCGAGGCCCAAAGTTAATGAATCAAGCATCAAAAAATCTTCAACTAAGCTGAAGTTTGGTGGCAAAAGAAAGTGGGAGTGACAGCTGCTACAGCTAATAAACCTTAAACACAAAAAACAGCTATAATTCAGTCACATTTACAGATACTGAGCTCAAATTTAGTGATTGTTGCTAAAGTACTGGTGATAAGAGCATGGAAGGTGAAGAATGTGTGTTTTCTTTAGGTTCTACTAAAAAGATTAATCTGCAGGACTTCTTTTGAATAAAGAGTTAAAAACAGAGAAAAAAATAATTGGCTTTGTTGTTTTGAAGAGTGAATTTGTTCTAAGTGTTACAGGTAAAAAAACAAGTTTAGCAGCTTCTCACCAGATGTGGGGAACAGAATGATTTGAGACGAATCTTGGTGTTTGGTTTGACGGTGCTCCCGCGCTGCTCTGCTGGACCTGGGGACCCGGGTGTGTCTGTGTCCTTCAGGACCCTGCACCATGGGGGGCTCCTCCAGTCCCAAGCCCTCCAGAACCTGCTCCTTGAACCAGGACAACACCACCCCTCGGGGCAGCTCCTCCACCGTGCAGCTCTGAGCCAAGCTTTGGATCCAGAGAGGGCCCAAGATGAGGACAGCACAGGACACCATGACTGAGATGCAGCTCAACCTAAAACTCCAAAACGTCCAAAAAGAAGCTTTTGTATTTTTTTCTTGCTTGGACAGGAATTGTATCTCCACAAGACAAATGTTTCGTAGAGTCTTGAGCTTTCCTTCGGTACTGAAGCTGTCTGAGAGAAGTCTTCAGAGGAAGTGTTTTGTTGCAAATAACAGATAAAGAACGACCTTGATGAACGTTTGTGGGGATTTCACACAGACCTAGAGTGTGTCTGGATGTTTCATTTGCTACCTGTTTTTTTTTCTTTAGATACAAAACACACAAAAAATGCTTGAGGCTTACAGCAGTATACAATTCTATGAAGATAAATCAGTCTCAGAAGTAGTCGTACAAGTGCACAACAAGATTTGCATGTGTACAATTCAGACAGATTCAGAGTTTCTGTATTTGTCATTCGCACCCCATGTGGTACATGTAGTGGAACAAAATTATGTACACAGGTTCCCAATTAGATCCAACAATAAAATGTAAAATAAAAACAGCAATAAGATCTAAGATATGAACTAAGAAAAACATCAACTAAATTTACACTAAACACTAATAGAATAAAAACAATAGGTCGAACAGCAGCACAAACATGAATCTGTGTGAGCAGATGAGTACAAATGAACACAGCAACATGAAACAGATCAGCAGCAACATGAAACAGATCAGCAGCAACATGAAACAGATCAGCAGCAACATGAAACAGACCAGCAGCAACACTGAAACAGATCAGCAGCAACATTGAAACAGACCAGCAGCAACATGAAACAGATCAGCAGCAACATGAAACAGATCAGCAGCAACATGAAAACAGATCAGTAGCAACATTGAAACAGATCAGCAGCAACATGAAACAGATCAGCAGCAACATTAAAACAGATCAGCAATATTGAAACATATTATCAGCAACATTGAAACAGATCAGCAGCAACATGATGTGATTTTTCATAGTGATTATCCTAGTTAGAGATTCATGAGTCTAACAGCCTCAGGGTAGAAGCTGTTCCTCAGTCTAGTGGTTCTACACTTAATGCTCCTCAACCTCCTTCCTGAGGGGAGCGGAGCAAAGAGTGTGTGTGCTGGGTGAGTGGGGTCCTTCATGATGCAGATGGACCTCTTCCTGCATCTGGAGGTGTAAATGTCTGTGATGGTGGGGAGGCTGACTCCAACAGTCTTCTGTGCAGCCTTCACCACTCTCTGCAAAGCTTTTCTTTCTGCAGCTGTGCAGCCTCCATGCCACACATTAATGATATGGAGCACAGGTTGCTCTCTACTGCACACCTGTAGAAGGAGGTGACTATAGAAGTTACACAAGCAACAAATGCGTATTTAAAAAATTACAAATGCATACTTTGTTTTTTTGAAAGTATGTATTAAGCAGAGCTCTCCACTCATGCTATTTTTAAGAACACTAGTCACAAGATTAAAACTGGGCAACAGTCATGTTAGTACCGTATTTTTCAGACTATAAGGCGCAATATCAATGAACGGGTCAGAGTTTCTTTGTTGGTCATTCGTATCACATGTGGTACATGTAGTGGAATGACATTGTGTACACAGGGTTCCAGTTACATCAAACAATAGCAAAAAAAAAATTATATTTTGGCTGCTCCCTGCGTTAGGGGTTGCCACAGCAAACCAAGTCGCACGAAGACTTGGCAGTTATTTTTTTACGCCGGATACTCTTCCTGACACAACCACAGACCACCGAGCTACCACAGCCCTCTTTGTGGAGCAGAGAGCTGCTATCTAGGACACCCGGAGAAGCAGATGGTGGGGGTTAAGGGCCTTGCTCAAGGGCCCAGAGTGATGCGAATGAGGGTGGGGGCAGGTGTGGGTGCTTCACAAACAATAGCAAAAATATAAAGTGTAAAAAGAAACAGTAAATAAGGATCTGAGATATAAACTAAGATATACACTAAAATAATGCCAAACAGTACGCTAAAAGTTCTAAGATATATGCCAGTCACTAATAATGAGCACATTGACAGTGTCAGGAAGCACAACCAGAATTAATACAAGAGACACACCGGATTATAAGGCTCACTGTTGATTTTTAAGAAGATTAAAGGATTTTAAGTGTGCCCTATATTCTGAAAAATACGGCAACAAAACCCCATAGCAGCCTGTACACTTTTCAATGGCAGCATGTGTTTTTTAGCCAGGTTTGAGTTAGAAAATGATGGCTCAGTTGGTAGAGCTGCTGCCTCTCAGCGAGAAGGTTGCCATATCGAATCCTGACCAGGGGGCCTTTCTGGGTGGAGTTTGTATGTTTTCTCCGTGCATGTGTGGGTTTTCTCTGGGTACTCCAATTTCCTCCCACAGACCAAAAACATGCCTGTTAGACTGATTGGTAACTCTAAATTGTCCCTAGGTGTGAGTGAGAGAGTGAATGGTTGTTTGTCTCGTTTGTCTTTATGTGTTCCTGTGATGGACTGGACACAGGGTGTCCTCTGCCTCTTACAGTGACTGCTTAATATGGACACCAGTAACCTCTATGACTCAAAATGGAAGAAGCTGATAAAGATAATGGATGGATATTGAATTACACCAGGAGGACCACAAAACACTGTGTGTATGGTTCCTGTAACAGAGACTCAAGGTACATCCATCTTCCTTACATGGAAGGGGTCTTTATTGTCACTTTTCCCAAGCTGACGCCACCAGAGAAGTCTGATCACTGGATTAGATCAATGGGACGGGCTGGATTTGTCTGGACTCAGACTTCTTGTTTGGAAACAGTGTCCCTTTGGTTTTGTCGGCATTTAGGACAAGTTTGAGATGGAACAAATGAGACTGGATGATGTGAGTTGAAAAGGAGGTGCCGTAGATGCATTACCATCTATCTGGAGGCGGTGATCGAGTGCCTGACCGCCAAGATCTTGGAGGTAGCGGGAAACACAACTCGTGACAGTGGGAGGGCCAAGATCATCCCCCAGCACCTGCAGTTAAGTCTGCGGTGACGAGGGGCTCGGCAGGCTGCTGGGAGGAATGGCCATCGCTCGGGAAGTAGTTCTGCCCGTCATTCATGCAGTCCTGCTGCCCAAGAGGACTGAGAGTTCTGCTGGATCTTGGTGGATGGATCGGCATCTGCAGCCAGTTTCTTTCGCTGTGGGACAGACTGCTACAAGAGATCCTTCCTGCCCAAAGACATCAGCATCTAGAACAACTCTAATGAAACCAAGATGAGTTACAACAACGATAAATTTCCCTTTAGGATTAATAAAGTATTTTTGAATTTAATTGAATTGTGAACAAATCAGACTGATGTCAAAAGCAGATTGCAAAATCTGCAAAACCTTAGCAACTGTTTTAGCTCAACAATAAACAACTGTATCATCAGCATAGAAATGTAAGGATGCATCAGGGATGAACTGACCTAAATTACATATGTAGATTGTAAAGAGGGTGGGCCCTGAGACTGAGCCTTGTGGTACACCATTGTTGACTGTTAAATAACTCTAGGAAGTACAAAGTTAACCAAGTTATCAGGAAAATGCACTTTTCTAACATTTCTGTTTGGCGTATTGTTTTTGTACTATTAGTGCTTAACATATTTTTAGTTAATGTTGTTCTTAGTTCATATCTTAGATCTTATTACTTTTTTTCCATTTTATATTTTTATTGGATGTAACTGGGACCCTGTGTACACAATTTCGTTCCACCACATGTACCACATGTGTTGTGTATGACAAATAAAGTAACTCTGACTTTGAGTTTAATGAGAGTTAGTAGGAGAAATATCTCTCCAGTTTTAGCATCTCTCCTTTGGATCCTTGTCAAGTCCAGAATTGAATTCAAAATCTTACTTCTAACCTACAAAGCTCTCAACAATTTAGCTCCAACTTATATTAGAGATCTTACTGTTCCATATTTTCCTAACAGAGCACTTCGCTCTCAGACTGCAGGTTTACTTGCGGTTCCTAGAGTTTCCAAAAGCAGAATGTGAGGAAGATCTTTTAGTTATCAGACTCCTCTCTTGTGGAACCAACTTCCAGTTTCTGTCCGTGAGGCTGACACATTTTCCAGTTTTATGACTGGGATTAACACTTTCCTTGTTGATAAATCCTATAGTTAGTGTTGGCTTGGGTTTCCTGAGACATCCCTTAGTTATGCTGATAGACTTAGACAGCTGTAGGACAAACTGACCACATTCCCTTACTCTGCTGCTGTCTTTACTTACTCTACTCAACCTGTTTGTGTTTATAATTATTTCTATCTTAACTTGTGTTTTTATTCTTTCCTCCTATAAGTACATCTGGACCTGCCATTCTGTGTTCGTTTCTCCTTCCTGTTCCTCACAAACCCAGCTGGTTGAAGAAGATGGCCGCTCATCCTGAGCCTGATTCTGCTGGAGATTTCTTCCTGTTTAAAGGGAGTTTTTTCTTTCCACTGTCTCCTCTGTGCTTGCTCAGGATGTGATACTGTGACGAAGTGAAGATTCAACACAACCTGCTGGATTCTTTAGATAGAGAACTTTTACTAACTGGCTTTTAGAATATGTGAATGTTTCTGTTTAGTGCCCTGAGTGACTTGACGCTATATAAATAAACTGAATTGAATTGATTGTTTTGATGGACTGGTATGTATTTATCCTCTGATTTGTTGAGTAAAATACACAACTCGTGCTGTCAGAATGAGCCTGAGTGTGGAAAACGTGTGAAACTGTGGAGCTTTGCCTTAATTGAGATTTGCGTAAAAGACCATCTCCCTGTAAGTAAAATAACATCCCATCTTCTTAAATTATTTACTAAATTAAAAAATTCTAACTGTTTCATACTAACCATTTTGAATTATTATTATTATTAGTTGTTGTTGTTTTTCATTTAAATTGACCATTTTCCTTTAGAGCTTGAGCTGGCTGCTCTGGTTCTGGGAATTCCCTTCGTATACTGTTTGGCACCATTGGTCTTTGTTTTTTAAAATGCACATCTGGAATTCCAGATGACATTATTCTAGACCGCTCCGGTTTCCTCCCACAGACCAA